GCACATTTTTCACTATATCAAAGCAATAACCAAACATTGTGCTCATGGAACACTCTGATTTGAGCTTATTCATAAAGTGGTTCAGCGAAAGAAGGCATCTTGGTTTGTACCCAAGTAAAACTCAGAGGCTTAACACACAACAGTAGCTAAGCATCATTGGTTTGGTCAGCCTTTACCTAACCAACTACTTTACATTACACAGGCTCATCAAACAACGCTTTCTAGCTTTATTTAGGATTTGACCCGAACTGTTCGGTAAATTCCCACACGTTACGCACCCCACCTACCCTGTCATTGTTAGTTTGGAGAAGGGAAAACTGGGAGGCCCCTTCATCGTTGAAAGAGGGTGGGAAAACTTTTATGCTCTCGTTTCTTGCTCGAATCTTCGAAAAATGGCCTTAGCTAACGCATCTTGTGCTGCAGGGTGCATCTTCCTCCAGACTCATGGAGGTTATGTCAGATGTGGGTGTCTTTGCTGCCTTTCCTTTTATTCTGAAGGCATGTGCTCGTGTTTTGGCTCACAGAGAGGGGAGGCAAATCCATTCTCAAATGTTCAAAAAGAAAAAGACAAAAAAAATAGAGAAAGAGAGAGAGAGATGGGTTGTGGAAAGGTGTTGGTGGCCTTAGTGCAGATCAGTTTCCTTGTATCATCAAGTATATGTTCCAATTGTTAGGAAGATTTTTTTCCCCCCAAAACAAACCCCAAATCTTTTTCTCAAAAAAAATCAAATCCCAAATATATGAGAGAGAGGGAGTGAGATCTGTAGGTCATGGAATAGGGCTTTGAGAGAGAGAGAGAGAGAGAGAAAGAGAGAAGAGAGAGAGAGACAGAGAGAGAGAGAGAGAGAGAGAGATTGAACATGAAGGGAGAGGAGAGGACCGAGAGACAGAAGTGAGAAGAGACAGAAAGAACAGCAAGTTTTGAGGGGGTAAATAAGCCGTCCAATGTTTCAAACATCGAATCGAGAGAAAACTTAACAAAAAATTAAAAAAAATCATGGATCCATCCTTTCAGGAAATAACTTGCTATTTTTGAACCATACCATGATAATGGTAAAAAAAAACCTGGTTCGTACGTAAATTTCCCAGAAGATAACTTCTAATTGAAAGGTTAAATAAAATAAGACATTTGCAAATTGAAAGTATTTATGCATTTTGAATAGCAGTTATCAAGCACATTATGAATACCTCCCAAAACAAAACAAAACAAAAAAATGAATGAAAGAGGTATAATAAGGTGATTCTAGAGTAGGCAGTATTTTATATTATTCAAGTAGATACTTCGTTTTATGAATGCATTTAGTTGGAGGGTTCATTTCTCTAGAAGGAGAGAACTACATAATTTTTTAAAAGTTCATGCACATTGAGTGGTGCAAGAGCAAACCCACAAAACAATTAATCTAGCTATTTGACAAGGGAGCAAGTATATAAGTTACTCTTGCTAAACTATGTTATAAGCACTATTTAGGTTAAATTCTATAAATATCTGTTGTGTTGAAGACGCATTTTCTTCAGCTTTTGATTTGTAGAATTTTTTTTAAAGATGAATTCTCAGAGAGGTCAGTGTGCCATAAATTGGCTTTGGTTTGCATTCCCTATTTTTTCCCCGTAAGTGACTTTCTTCTCTCTTCTCCTTCAACAGGGAGAGTTATTTCGAGATACTAACTTTATTTCGAGACACTAACTTTGCATCACTGATGATGATGATGCTACTACAATGTTAAGGGAAAACAAAGGCATTCATCGAAGAGTATTCAAGTTATATGTTCAGCAGACATGCCAACTTATTTGGCTATGTTATCATAAAGATGAGAATGATGGTAAAAATAAAACAAACAAGCAACACAAAGCACTCAACATATTGGTAACTAATTCTCATATTTTGACTAAGTTAAAAGTGGTAAAGTCAATGGCGATTTGGGGCCCCAACCCGTTGATGAGAATGGAATCAAAGACCTAATCATATGGCTTGGCAATACTACCCCGCCAAGGCCCCAGGGCATTTCCAACTAATTCTCATAGTTCAATACAAAGAGTACTTTTTTCTTGATTATCATTTGCAATAATACAAGAAAATGCACAACAATATCGTAAAATGTCCCTCGAAACAAAAAACTTATAATGATCATAATAATTCACAAAGTAGCAACTAGATAACACTACTCTTCATCCAAAAAACAAATCTATCAAGAAATGAAAAAGCAGCATGTAATATGCATTATATAGCAGCAAAGAAAACCTCCAACAATCTCCATTGTATTAAGAACCAAATACGATATATACTCAAAACTCTTATATTATTCTGCATCAAGTAATTAACCCAACACTTCTAGAATTTCAACAAACTAGAAACCCTTTTCCACAAAGCTCAGAAACTACTAAAATATATTTCATTTCTAACTCATTTGTTCATATCCTAGACATATAAAAAGTAATTTTCTCTTAATTCATGCTAATGTAAAAAATTGATCAATAGAAATTTCTAAAATTATCAACACAATTTATAGTCTCCTCTCTCTAAAATTAACAAGGATTCTAGTTTATATCATTTTCATAAAAAAATTATTTTTATCAAAAAATAGAATTTTATCAAAAAACATAATTTTATTAAGCAAAATGAAAAACAATTCTCAAATTCATCATAAAACATTATTTTATTAGACAATAATTTTTTTTTGAAAAACTAATTTTTCAAAAACCCCTAAATCAAGCAACATTTTCGAGCAGGAAATGACCCTCAATGTTCAGATAATCGAACGAGTCAACACACATGCATTGCAAAAGCTTTGATCATCTTTCAAACACATCAAATCTCATAAAAAATATTTGGTACTTTTCATTTAGTTGAAAAAATGACGGCAATTTCAAATCTATGAAATTTTTATGACATCGAGCAAGAAAAAAATTCATATAAAAAATTTTACTCAATCATAAATAAAAGCACTTATTTTATTTGGCAGACGAATCCTTGATGATCAAAATCCACAAATCAATTTGATAAAAAACGACCAATAAATTGATCCAAAGTCTGTTTTTTTAGATCAAACACGGGTTCTTCAAGCAGCAACTTTTTGGGCCAAAATCAACTCCCAATCTTTTATTTTTTGAACAAATTCAAAACCAATTTCATCAATCATTAGGTATTGAAGATGTTATTGAAGAAATGGCAAAAATTTCAAAAGGCTTGAAAACCTGCCATTTCAATCCACAAAGAACTCTTTATTTTTTGATCTTTGATTTGCAATTCCTTGTTTTATAGGCATTTAGTAGTGATTTACAGTAATAAAGTATGAAAAAACCCAAAAAATGGCAGGACAAGGAATAAAAAACAGCTGAAAAAGTGGATTTACGGGTGCCTGCCACAAATAACAGCCTCCATTGAAAACTAAGGGAAGTTATTTTCACAAGCTCGCTATTTGTAAAGAAAATGGCCATTATATCGGCCGACCGGTCCAATTAACCAAAAACCAGTCTGTTAGACAAAAACACTACCAATTCAATCCCTAACCGATCGGTTTTGGGCTAGAAATCTTAAGGGGATGTACCCTAAGATACTAGACACTCAAAACCAACCCAAACAGAACTCGGGATGCTAGTGGTTTCGATCTAACTAGCATGTTTTTGTCACATTGATCATGAGTTTGATCCAAACATGGAACATCATTTTTTAGTAAAAAAATTTGATTGGGTTTTTGAATCTAGAACAAACTAGAGCATGTGTGTAATTTGAGCCTTTCGATGTCATGGAAAATTATCAAAAGACATCACATGTTAAGCATTCTTAACAAAATATTTGAGGAATAGAGGAAGTACTCAAATAAAATGATCTCGTTTCCCAACATTCATATTGCTTTTGACCATTTCAGTACGGGAAAAATTTATATAAGGTGACAACCTTAAAATGTAGAAGTAAAGATGCACATAAAAAATCCATCGAAAAAAGTTGTTTTAATATTAAAAAAAGTTTCTAATTGATCATCTCGACATCGAGATGTATGAATGAGAAAAAATAAAATAAAGATTTTGAGTCACAGAAATATTGCATCTTGCAACACATTATCTAAACCATCTATTTTTAAGATTGTCATATGTTTATAGATCTACTTGATTTAAACTATTTTTGGAGAGTTTTAAATTTTATAATTAGATACATAGATAGATTTTTAGATAATCTTAAAAAAAAATTTACTCAAAAATTACATGTTATGATAAATTTTGGAAGTACGTCTTAATTGGATTGTTGTAGATTGTAACCTTATAGACCACACGCCCTTTTCAGTAATGGACATGATTTTTGACTCGATGTGGAAACAAGTCACCTTTTAAAAATCTATTTTTTAAGTGTAATCTCTAACATGGAGATCATAAATATGAAATAAATAAATTTTAAAAATTAAAAATAATAATTTTATTAAAAAAATCTTTGGACCGTTAGTTTCAATTGTTTTTAGATGGACCACCTACTATCATCCATTTTTCATATAGATGCTTTATATTTTGGGACTGCATATGGTAGAAATACGATCCAGCTTGCATGAAACAATTTTCGTTTAGTAGTTCTTTTGAGATAATTTGCCAATTTTAGCGCTTTCTACAATTTTTTATTCAAGTTTCAGACAAATTTTGAGGAATATTCGGTTCGGAAAAGCACTTCCCTCTTTTGTTATGACTTTACATTTGTATTGTTGTTGAGCATGGTAACTTCTCCTTTCTTCTCTGCATGTACGCCGCATAAAATATTAATATATACAACTATAAATCCCCTCTAAATTATTGCTTCCTTTCCGCCCTACAGACTGGGTAAATAAACTCTCTCTCTCTCTTTCAGTGACTTCTATTGTTCGTCCATCTATTGTTCTCTCTCTTAGGCTATTGCATGTTTGTTGTTCAAGAGGGGTTCTTTTTGTTTGAATTGGGGTGTTGCACAGTTCGATTGATTCGGTTTTGGAGATTAAAAACCTTCTGATCAGTGTGCTTGATCGTTTCAAATTCTCTTTTATTTGTGTGCTCTAATTGCTTGCAAAGTTGATCGTGTCTCTGTTCTTCCTCGTATGCTAGGGTTTTGATTTGGTTCTATTGTCCTGCTGCTCTTCATCTTATTCTAGAGTTTCTATTTGAATTCTGGAGTTTGTGTGGTTTTGTAGTTGCAGAGAACATGGAGCCCATGGATATTGTGGGGAAGTCTAAAGAGGATGTTTCCCTACCAAAGGGTGAGTGTCTCCATTTCCAAATTTGCTCTTTTATGATTTTTCTCCTTTTTTGGGGAGCAATTTTTCTTTTTCTGTCATTTGGGCACGCTTGACATGAAGGTAAGAGTGAATAGTATATGATTTGTAAATATGATTCCTAGTTCCTTACTTGGTTAATATTGTGATTCTTATTTCTGATCAAAAGCCAATTCCCTTTATGTTTTGGTTGGAACCTACTTCCTTTTATTGTTGTTTCTATTTCCAGTAAAAAAGTGGTGGTTTGCCTGTGAACTAGAAAATGTTTCATATTCCTTAAATGTTGTTTGTGCTTAGTGCTGGCAAATTAGAAATATTGGTCTTTTTTTTTTCTGCTAGGTAAATATTGATCAATTTCAAATTCACTTGGTTCTGCTTTTGAGAATTCGATCGCTACTCCGTGATTCTTTAGTTGCATTTGTGGAATTCTCATGGAGTGTTGCTTTACGGAAGGAAAATGAGTTGGAAATATGCTTCAGATCAACAAGAATCAGGGGTCTTACCTCTTCCGTAAGCTAAAAATTGTTGTATGTATAACTTCCCTCCTCTCTATGCTAGGGTGGTTCTATAATAGCTCAACTGAGAGGCCAAATTGACTGACCTTTGGAGTGCCCTTCATTCTTTCATGGTAACTTGGTTGGTGTAAGACGACTTAGGGGTGAATAAAACCTTCTTATGGAGGATTATAGACTTCATCCAGGAGATTACAGATATATCCTATTTGACATATGTTAATTTTGAATAATTTTCTCAGAACTTGCAATAGGGGGCTGAGATCATGGGCAAATCAGGCATGGATAGGATTCATGGTATTTCCAGTAGTGATTTAAAAAGCAGCTTGCCTAGCCCCTAGGTGAGCCAAGGGGGCCTGGGCGCATTGCCCAAGCCTAGGAGGCCCTTTTGGGGCGATGGGTCCTTGGGCACCTGCAGAAGGGCGATGGGTCCATGGGCGCTCGCTTTGGCGGGCATCCATTGCCTAACCTTGGTCGTGTGCTTAAGGACTGTGCCACCCAGGGGCGAAAATGCCTCTTGTGGAGGGGGATTTGCATCCTTTTCCCTCCTAAATAAGGGGGAAGTGGGGGGGGGTTGAAGTGAAAAGTTTTTGGAAAACATCACTTTTTTGCATCTCTGTAAGATCCATCGGGTGTTTCAAAGTTTTGAAAAATTTATCCAAATATCATCATTTTGGTTTAGATTTGATTTTGTAAATTTTTTAGGTTTCTTAGAGGGTTTCTAGGAAGCATTTGAGATTGAGAAACATAGAACATTGAAGATTGAAGATCAAGAAAAATGGTTATTGAAGAATTTCATAGTTGCGATTTTATTTGTTATTTCATTGTCTTCTTGGGGTTCTTTTAGAAGCTGTGATTCGGGTTGGAAGTACGATTATAACCCAAATCCAAATGACAAAAACTGTAGAAGGTGTAATTATTGCAAAAAAGATACTAATGAGAATATAAACCCGTTAAAAAAACACCTTGTAGATATTAGGAGGGATGTAGCCCCCTGTAAAAATGGTCCTGAAGCTATCAGGTTGGAGATTCAGCAATATTTGAGTTAGGTAAAACACAAAAAGGAATAAATGGATCCTTGTCATTTGGATAAGTCGTCTTCTAGTTCTTTTAAAAGTGGTGATCCGGGTCAAAGTACGGTTATAACCCAAATTTTTATCATTATCATCATTGTAGCCTTTTCCTAATTAATTGACATCAGCTACACGAATCCTGGTCCACCATTCTGCTCTATTAAGGGCCATACCCTTAATGAGGCCATAAGTCCCCATATCTTTTCAGATTACTTCCAACCACGTCTTTTTGAGCCTACCTCTTGCCCTTTTCAGTCCTTCCACTTGAACTGACTCGCACCTCCTAACAGGTGTTGTACTTGATCGCACCACACATGGCCAGCTCACTTAAGTCTACTTTCTTGAATGGATTCATTTCGAATTGTGTCCCTTTTTGTCTTGTCACTCATCCATCTCAACATCCTCATCTCTGCTGCACTCATTCTATGGGTATATTGGTTTTTTATGTGCCCAACATTCTGTGCTATAGAGCAAAGCTGGTCTCACAGTTGTCCTATAGAACTTTCCTTTCAACTTCATTGGTATGTTCCAATCACATAAAATTCCAGTTGCACATCTTTACTTTGCCCACTCAGCTCTAATTCTGTATATGACATCTTCCTCAATCTCTCCATTTTCTTGGATTATTGACCCAAGATATCAAAAGCGCAATCTTTTTTTGTACTTCCTGACGGTCAAGCTTAACTACTTTCTCATCTCTACTCATATTATTACTAAACTTGCAGTCCATATACTCCATTTTAGTCCGGGTAATTTAAAAATTTTGGAATCTATGGGGTTATAACCCAAATCCAAATGATAAGAACTGTATAGATCGTAATTTTTGTAAAAACGATACGAATGAAGGTATTAACTGGTTCAGGAAACATCTTGCCAGTATTGAAGAGAATGTTGTTTCTTGTAAAAATGTTCTTGAAGCTATTAGGGGTGAGATTCGAGAATATTTGAATTTGGTAAAACCAAAAAAGGAAGAAAAAGAGCCTTGTTATATGGAAATGTCTTTTCTGGGTTCCAAAAGTGGTGATCTGGGTTGGGGGTATGGTTACAACCTGGACCGAATGAAAAAAATTGTATAAGGTATGATTATTATGGAAAGAATACTAATGGGAGTATTTACCAGTTCAAGAAACACCTTGTCGGTATTAGAGGGGATGTTACCCCTTGTAAAGATGTTCTTTGAGCTACCAGGGAAGAGATTAAGCAATATTTGAGTTCAGTAAAACACAAAAAGAAGACGGGTGAAGAGGCGTTAGGTAGAGCAACAACAACACTCCTAGGACCTCTAGATCATCTGTACAAAGCAAGAGGGGATAGAAAAAGAGGAGGAAGAGGCAAATTTAGAATAAACGGAGGAGGATGAGCGTTATGTTGAAAAGGGAGATGACTCTGATGACTCCGATGCATATGATGAAGCTTACACCACTTTTTCTGATGATGACTAAAGACTCTTGAGTCTTCGAGTGTATATTTTGTTTTTTCTTATTTTCTACTTTCTACTCTTATGTGTATGCTTGTATGGCTGTATCACTGTATGGATCCATGGATAGTATGGAATGGTATGGACTATGGGGCGTGGAGTATGGTCTATGGAGTATGGATTATGGATTATGGATGGTGCCTGTATTATCATATTCTATTTTTGGTTTCGCTAGTAGTCTACTACAAATTTGCAATGGTTTAGAACTTTGGATTATGGGATTTTAAAATTTCGACCTAAGCTGCCCAAAAATTGGGCGCCTACCTACATGCTGGGTGGTCAGGACCCCCATGACCGTCTAGGTGCTGCCCGGCGTTTTTGGACCACTGTAATGTTGGTTTAATTTGTCTATGTATATGTCTCCATTTGTCTACGCCTTCATGCTTTGTTGACTAATTATAAAAAGACAAGAGTACTGTCAACTATCAGTATATATGAAAGAAGCAATAATTGCTGAAGTTGTATTTTTATATTGTAATACGTGGTACCACTGAAAATAACGAGAGTTAGCAAAGAAAGCAAGATCCTCCACTTCCCTTTGTGGGACTGACTTCCCTTGATTTAGAATTTTATTTTGATCTCATGGATTTATTTAGATGCTGCATCATCCATTTTATGGTCTTCATTAAACCTTCACTGTTTTATAGTTTCGATAAAATGGAAGGTGTCAAGTTCTAAGTTCTTCCAAAAAGAATATTATTAAAATCTAGACTATTTGATATGAAATTGATGGCTACATCGTTTGCTAAAGATTTATAACTGAAGTGCACATTTTGAAAACCCTGTATATCATTTCATGTTCAAAAAACAAAATGGGATGCCGGCTGGAACTTTCATTTGATTTATGTTGACTTGAGCTCCATGCTGTTTAGATCTGTTTAATGATGGAGTGAGGGCATTCATATGTTGATGGTGGTCTGACTAACTTTGTTAGATGGCCCATGTGAAGGACCATAATATATGTTGATGGTGGTCTGACTAACTTTGTTAGATGGCCCATGTGAAGGACCATAATATATGTTCATGGTGATGTCATTGATATCATCTTTGAAAAGTTGACTGGGCTTATTGGAAATGCATAGGGAATAACTATAGGAGTGTGAGAGAGCAAGGGACGATTTTTCAGGGAGCATCACTTCAGGGCATTTGGGCAATGGGACTACTGCTAAGTGCAATTTTCCTGAAAGCATTGGCTGGATTAATCACTTGGATACTTGAGTTTTTATTTATGATTACAGCTTTTACTATTCAGGATTGTAGTGATTCTACTGGTGTGGCTGATGCGGTATCCATTTTTGCCTCAAATCTGGAAGCTTGTGTTTATGAAATGCATCAGGTGTTTTGGACTAATGTCCTAAACCAATCCTAATGCTTCCTCGCTTTTAGTTGGAATTGAGAACTCAGAAAAAGTCCAATCTATCAAGGAAGTTGGTTAAGTCTTCTTTTTCCTTTATCGCACTTTGATCTTTCATTGCTATATTGCCCTCATTTTCTATATAATATAGATCTATTTTGTTGAACCAATGATTTTAACCTCTGATTTTACTTGGGGCTTGGCACGGTTCTGAGCTGTGTGATATCGAGTCAACTCGGTCAAATCTCAATAAGATTCTGCTCAATCTCCCGGAATAACAATCATGGATGGGTAGACTCCATATGAGTCTTTTGACAAACCTGATACTCACCAAGTTTATGAGCTGAGTGGACTCAGGTGAGTTCTGAGTTGATCCTGCAAGTCCTAAAAGATTTGATTGAACTCGTCATTGGCATTCTCATTTCTATTGCATCATGTTTCTTGTATCAAAATGGTGTAGTTGTTGAAATGGTAAGTGCTATTATTCAGGTGATCTAGCTTTGATGCAAGCTATTGTTTGGATCTCAAACCTTGACATGTATTCTTGATATTCCTTGTCTTATTCAGTTCCTTATGGGGTAGCTTCTGTGGCTAATTTTACTGTTCTATTAGGTCCGGCTTTTATGGACCACTTTAAAAGATGGATGCTTAAGCAAAACAGTATTATTATTTATAGAATTAGTAAGAAATCGCTATTGCTCTTACAATGAATTTTATTTTCTCTCAGTTCCATTTCAAAATGCAAAGTACATGTTCTTATCAATTCTCAGTACTTTGTTATTCAATACATGTTCATGAGGCTCTATTTCATGTACGTTTTTTAAATTATGATGTCTCATACTGTGCACTATTATATGTTTTGCAGCAACAATGTTCAAAATAATAAAAGAGATGTTGCCGCCTGATGTTCGTGTTGCAAGAGATGCTCAGGATCTTCTTGTGGAATGTTGTGTAGGTAGGAAGCTAATGACATCTGATTGTTCTATTACATCCAGTCATATCATATGGTTTTATGGAGAAACATCATATTGTATATATAGTTGAGAAGTGGAAACTTGATTTTATGCTGCCCATGCATGGAGTCATTTTTTTTAGCAGGTTACTAGAATTTTCTGTTGGACGCCTTTTCGTACACTACAGAGTGGACACGGAATCACTGAGATGGTTTTTAACAAATTATTTGTTATTTTGTACATCTTGTGATTGAACGGCAACTTCCATCGTATCTCAAGTTGTGACCCTATGGAATCAGCAGAGCTTGAGTTCCTAGAATTATGCCACCATGATTGGGACTTGCAGTTAGGCAGACTATTTTCTCTATGAAATTCAGGGATCAAAACAATGTGTGAACATCGATTGGATATTTCCTTTTTATGGCTGTTTTCTTCCAACTAAGGATCTGGAGACTACCTTCCTGAGTTTGAAGAATAGGACTTGCAATAGAGAATTTAGATTAGATATGATGGCCTTGATTTCTCTTTTATCACCAAATATAATGACTCCCCTTTTCCAGCTTGTAAATTCTCTTTCAATACTTGCCAAGATTGATTCTAGTATCTATCTATGCATAGTTGCTAAGCATGAAATTTTAAAAAGGTAAGCTAGTGAAGTATCCTTGTCATCATCAACAAAATGAAGGTGAATCTCTATTCTTTTTTTTCATTGATAGCTGCTGAAAACTCTATTCTAGTTGGGCTTAACTTAGTTTTAAAGCCCTTTCTAACTAATAAATGGTTCAAACATATGAATCTTTATAAATCTAAAAAAAAATTAAAAATAAAAAAATAAAGGACTTTGTGGGAAGCAGATGCCTTTCATGAAAACTTCCTCATTATGATAAAGTATTGGACATCATTATCTCCCTAAAATATCATAGTTGGCACTTTTTTTATATCCCCCTTCCTCATAGATACAATTTTAGGCATTGGGGATATAAATGAGACGTTTATGTTGATATACCTGGTAGACACTTGTAGTATTTGAAATAAAAAATAATTGATAACCTTATTGTGGAGAACCTCAAAAAAAAAAAATGATAACCTTATTGTGGAGAACCTCAAAAAAAAAAAATGATAACCTTATTGTGGTAGACTCTTTGGACGGAACTGCTTGGAAATTGTTGCGTTTTAGTGTTTGGCTTTAGCCATTGTAAACCCTGCGTACTTGACTTCCTTGTGTGTAAATTCGCTTTTGTGCCAGTGCTCAGTTCCTCAATAACTTCGAAAACTGAAAACCTTCATGAAAGGATGAGGCTTTTTTTTATGTGAGTACAATATCTTAAAAGCATTGTTAAATTTCCTCTCTTACAATTTCCATCTCTGGATCCATTGCTCTCTGGTTTAGTGCCCGTACTATCATTATTATTCATGTTGTGTTTGGCATTTTGTTATAGAACAGAGCTCTGGTCCACATTTTTGTACGAGAGCATTCAACATTTTTTAATGATCCATTCGTTCCTATTTGGTTATTATTGAATATTGGCTTATCCTTTTTTCTTTATTTCTCCCTAAAATTTCTTGTTACCTCATTCTATCAACACTATCAGTTTTGTCAAGCATTACCACATTCCCTTTAGTCATTGGTTTATGGTTTCCTGTAATTGGAGTTTTTACCAATATACATGCTTTGTAGGCTTGAAATTGCAATGAATGAACTACTGCTTAAGTATACCATCATTTGGAAAAGGCGTTTTGAACTGATTGGCTTTTGATACTTGATATAGAAAAGATCTTCGAATTACTTACAGTAGCCTAATCTCCGTCGCAGGTGAGATCAATGACAAGTCCATTACTCCGGTCACTGGATTGTCTTGATTATTCTCCAAGGAAAAAAAGAGATGTCCAGAGGAAAGTTGATATCATTTTTATTTATGAAATTAGAACATTTGTGCATGGTCATAGTTATTCAACTTTCCTTTTAACCCCCTGCCTCTTCTCCTTAGTTAAATTAATTGCTATGAAATTGGGTCCTACACATCTTAATTAGCTCCACTGGTTTCGTATATTTCCCTATCCTGCCTCATGTCATCAATAGAATTTGATATACAAACTTGGCCTCAACCGCTATCTTTGTGTCCGAAGTATTTCATGTAGGATCACAGTTTCTGGTTGCTACTTGTGTGGAAAACAGTTTGGTGGGCTACATTGATTTGTTAGTTTAGGGTTGTAGATTAGGATTTGCTAGGTTTGTGTGGATGGGTTTAGGGGATTAGTGTTTGGATGAGTGGGATGGTAAAATAGGGCTGGCATAGGGGTCTAGGAAAGTAGGGTTTAGGGGTGAGATGAGGAGCGACTGGAATTTGAGAAGGTTATGCAGGGTGTTCGTGATTGGAAGAAGCCTAGGAGTTGAATTAGTGGCTTGGGTGACTTCTTGTTTGAAGTAAGAGGCTATGGTGGTACGGTTGTGACATGTGTTACATGGGTAATCCATTTCTTCTTTTTGTCATGTGTCACATGCCCTTACACGGGTGCAACATGTGATATTTATGTTTCAGATGACTGAACTATCTCATACAGAGTGTCAACATGTCTGTCTGACATATCCACTATTGGACTTTTGTACCGGCTTCTATATGATACAAAATAGATCACTTGTGGGACTTGGACCCACAACCTTTCAATTACAAGGAGAAAGACTCTACCATTCTATTATAAGCAATGATTGTTATTGTCATAAGGATGGCGTTTTGGTGTGTCTCTACTCAAATATGGTCCTCTTCAGAAAACCCACCTTGGATATGGATTCAGATATGAAATTTCATAGATTGATAGTTTTGATCACCACGATCATGAATATGAAATAAAAAAGCACATTGAAATTTAAAATTGATATCTTGCACTTGGTATTTGGATCTTTCACCTTAGCTCTTCTCAGATCATCTTATCTGCACTATTTATGAGCTGCAAAATCATGGATTGTAATTGCAGACCCAAATGCATCTAGAATGCCTTAGGATGGATTCATATCCTAAATCTGTCTATAAGATGGATTTTTGGAAGGGGATGCATTTAATTTTTTCCTCTTCCAAAATTTTATATTAGTCGTCTCAAAAGAAGCATTATTTTGAGAAAGGTAAATTGTAAAAAAATTTATTTTAGTCGTTTCAAAAGAAGCATTATTTTGAGAAAGGTAAATTGTAAAAGAGCATAAATATGCAAAATAGATTTTACTTTTCCACCAAAAGATATTCTCTTACTTTGTGTTTTCATTTTTTAGATTTTCATGATACTCTTTCCTATGTTCTTTTGATTTTTCATAGTATTGCCATCTCTCAAGGTAGTAATGCCTTGATGCTATTCAAGGTGTTGATTCCATGCATAGCCTATAATTGTGAAGTAATGACCCTAAATCTTCTAGCTTTAAACATATTTATTTATTTGTGATAAGTAGCTTTACACTTAATCGGTTAGGCCCCTTTTTTCATCTTTCGTCCTCCGCAACTTCACCTCTCAAACTCGTGCTCTTCATCCATCCCATTCTTCTTCAGCCCAAGTGTTCTCTTTCATCCCTTGTTGCACTGCTAATCAGCCATGCCCCTGCGCCTACGTCCTTCTCCCTCAGACAACCATGCCATCCTTACTTTCTTCCTTTTTGCTTCATTGAATTAACCATAATCGTCAGACAAAAGAGATATATCTTATCAAATCAAAGAGAGTCTGCAATATACAAAAACGTTTGTCACTGCTTAAGAATCCTAATATTTTCAAATTTAGAATCCCTCCTTATAAAGTCCTAATAACTAAGGTTTATGTATATGTATATGAGTAAGACAAATTTTTAATTTTAAAATATGTTTAATTTTTTGTTTTTAAGAAAGAAATATCACACTTTCTTACATTGTAATTTTTAAATTATGAGTTTGATTTTATTTTCTTTTTTTTGAAATTGTTAACTGTTTATGAGTTTGTTTGAGAGGAATTTTTCCAATTTAAAATAAGGAATATGAAAGGCATTGAGATTTGGATTCTGTATTCTCTCTCTTATATCATACATATATAGGGGAGTTATAAAAAAAGTTATTTCAATTTTGAAAAAAGGAATATGAAACTTTCTTAACTTTATTTTTATTAAATTTCTTTATCATGTGAAAATTATCTATTAGGAAAAGAGTTATGAAAAATAATAAATTCTTAAGCAATAAAGTGGTAATGAAGTTATTGGGATTAGGAGAAGGATTGGAATCGAAACCGAGGGATCGTGAAATGCTAGAAGATCCCTATGGTGGGGAGCGGCATCCGTACAATGAATTTGTTGGGGATCTAGATCCCCAAATATTAGGGATCGTGATCCCAACCTTTTTGGAATCCTGATTCCAATTCCCAACCTTTTGGCTTCCTCCTAACCCCAAATGGTATATACATTTTTGAACTATATGAACTCTTTAAAACAGGATCTCTTTATTTATAACCAGCATGCAAAGCAATTATATTAAAGGTACAATTGTGTTGGAAGGTGGCTATAAATTAAGAAATCATTAGTTTGGTTATCTTCGTCTTAATGGTTGGAATTGAGTTCATTGACAATATGAATTGGGATCCCTAATGGAGGGGATCGAGATCCTAAAATTTAAAAATCGCGATCCCTTTCCCAAAGTGTTAGAGTGAGATTCTGGAGTGGAATCACAACCTATATTTATGCTAGGAGTTCAGGCAACTATGAGTGGTAATCAGTGGTTTAAGAAACGGATTGGCGGCCCGGATCGGGCACCTAAAAAACCCATCCGAATCGGTGAATCGACGACTCGGATCGGGAATCGGCCGAATCAGTCGGATTAAGCCTTACAAAAAATCCAAAAAAATGATTAAAATTGGTTATAAATGTTGTTTTTTTGGAATCCAATAAGAAATCAGGGTACTACATTATTAACTTTCATGTTTTTCATCAATATACGAATATTGAGATGTTCTTTTCATGTATGAACTTATTTTAACCATTAAATTACATCACACAAAATAA